GATCCTGGTCTGGCTCAGTGGATTCACATGGAATGAGCAGAGTGTGGGAGAGAAAAGGGTAAAAGATAATGGTCAAGATGAGCTAGGAGATTTTGGAGAGGGGGAAGGAGATTTGGGATGTAAGGTCTTGAGGGAGATATGAAAAGAATATTTTAAAGATTTTATTATTTTATCTGTTATGAATGAAATCCCTTCTGGCATTTTTGAGGAACTTTAGTATGTGTTAAACTGCTTATAGCAGAATTTTTAAATATCCCTTCTTAGCAAGATCTCTGTCTTGTCATCTAGCACAAAGGGATTTTTTGGTGGCTTCTTTGAGGAGGTGTTTCCATGCTTAGCATGAAAACCAGGGGAAGAAAGGACAAGATGCCCTATTGTGTAAGTGAAGGATGGAGGACTGATGGTTTTGGAGATGAGCTCCAGAGAACAGCCCCTGGATCCCCAGCAATCTTCCCACATTGCAGAGCCTCTCCCTGACTCCTATCATCAGCCCTGGCTGTCTGGAATATTACTTCCTATTTCATACAATTTTAGATTGTTCCATGGCATGTTTATGTACATTGCTATCTGATTCATAACAAATCTGTGAGGAAAGCATAACAGGCATTTTTGTCCTCTGTTTTACAGATGGGAAAATGAGATCACAAAGAGGGGAATGACTTTCTTGAGGTAATTTTTAAAAAGACAACAGACATTGGAACTAGCACCCAGGTATCTTGAAGCCTGGTTCATTAATCCACATGACACTTAATTCTTTTTTTTTTTTTAATTTCTCCTTACTTCTTTTTTTTTAACATCTTTATTGGAATATAATTGCTTTACAATGGTGTGTTAGTTTCTGCTTTATAACAAAGTGAATCAGCTATAGGTATACATATATCCCCATATCCCCTCCCTCTCGGGTCTCCCTCCCACCCTCCCTATCCCACCCCTCTAGGTGGTCACAAAGCACCGAGCTGATCTCCCTGTGCTATGTGGCTGCTTCCCACTAGCTATCTATTTTACATTTGGTAGTGTATATATGTCCATGCCACTCTCTCACTTCGTCCCAGCTTACCCTTCCCCCTCCTCATGTCCTCAAGTCCATTCTCTACAACTGCATCTTTATTCCTTTCCTTCCCCTAGGTTCTTCAGAACCTTTTTTCTTTTTTTAGATTCTATATACATGTGTTAGCATATGGTATTTGTTTTTCTCTTTCTGTCTTACTTCACTCTGTATGACAGACTCTAGGTCCATCCACCTCACTACAAATAACTCAATATCGTTTCTTTTATGGCTGAGTAATATTCCATTGTATATATGTGCCACATCTTCTTTATCCATTCATCTGATGATGGACACTTAGGTTGCTTCCATCTCCTGGCTATTGTAAATAGAGCTGCAATGAACATTGTGGCACATGACTCTTTTTGAATTATGGCTTTCTCAGGGTATATGCCCAGTAGTGGGATTGCTGGGTCATATGGTAGTTCTATTTTTAGCTTTTTAAGGAACCTCCATACTGTTCTCCACAGTGGCTCTATCAATTTACATTCCCACCAAGAGTGCAGGAGGGTTCCCTTTTCTCCACACCCTCTCCAGCATTTATTGTTTGTAGATTTTTTGATGATGGCCATTCTGACCGGTGTGTGGTGATACTTCATTGTAGTTTTGATTTGCATTTCTCTAATGATTAGTGATGTAGAGCATCCTTTCATGTGTTTGTTGGCAATCTGTATATCTTCTTTGGAGAAATGCCCATTTTTGGATTGGGTTGTTTGTTTTTTTGATATTGAGCTGCGTGAGCTGCTTGTATATTTTGGAGATTAATCCTTTGTCAGTTGCTTCATTTGCAAATGGTTTCTCCCATTCTGAAGGTTGTCTTTTTGTCTTGTTTATGGTTTCATTTGCTGTGAAAAAGCTTTTAAGTTTCATTAGGTCCCATTTGTTTGTTTTTATTTCCATTTCTCTAGGAGGTGGGTCAAAAAGGATCTTGCTGTGATTTATGTCATAGAGTGTTCTGCCTATGTTTTCCTCTGAGAGTTTTATAGTGTCTGGCCTTACATTTAGGCCTTTAATCCATTTTGAGTTTATTTTTGCCCATGACACTTAATTCTTGCTTCATAAACAAGTGTAGAGATTGTGGAAGCACATATTAAAAGGGAAGTGCAGTGAAAAAGCAACATAAATTAAAGGAGCTGGGAACATTGAGTGTCCATTAACCCAGGGCTGGAGGCTGATGGCCAGCTCACATGGGATGCTGGGAAGGACTTACAGACCCACTGGCAGTGAACAATGGAGAATTAAATCCCAAGAGAGGTCTATAGACTGGGGCAATGGGCCATGTCTAATAGAATAAATTTAAGAGGAATAAATGCAAAGTCTTAAATTTTGATCTAAATGATAATTGCACAGGATGAGATGGGGAGAAATTGCTTAGGATCCTTTTATCTTCTTACTCAATTTGTTTTCAAAAGGGTTTGTTGGGCACCCATCATGTCTACATGATGTTCTTGACCAGATAACTTCAGTAAACAAGAACCAGACAAATAAAGCCCTGTTCTGCTGGAGCTCTGATTCCAGTGAGACAGACAGCCAGTATGGAGATAAAGAAATGATTTCATACAAGTATCAGTGTAATGAATAAAATAAAGCAGAGTTACAGACATTAATTATTAAGAGGTAGGACAATAGTAGAAGGGTGGTCAGAGAAGCCCTCTCTAAGGAGGAGACATTTTCAAGCTGTTACCTGGAGGATAAGAAGGAACCTATATTGCAAGGATCACTGGGCAGCGTTCTAGGCAAGGGAAAGCAAGTGCAAGGGGATGTAGGTAGGAAGGATTTCAGGATGTTTGAAGGACAGAAAGGAAGACACTGTGGCTCAGATTAGTGACCTAGGAAGGCAGCAGGAGATGATGCTGGAGTGCCTGCAAGGGCCAGGGCATGTAGGCTTTGAAAGCCACAATAAGCATGGCACACTGCTAATCATCCTCCCAAAATCTATTCTCCTTTTCCTCCTGGGCACAAGACTTTAATCTGGACACCTCGCCAGACACAGTTTCCCAGCCTTCTTTTTGTGAGGTGCAGCCATGCCACCAATGTTATTGCCAAAGGAATATGAGCAGAGGAGATGTGTGCGACACCCACCCCGCTTGATTGAAAGGAAAATGCTTATCTTTAACTTCCTCTCTTTTTCCTTCCCTTGCGTGACCAGCCATGCAAATAAGGACAATACGTTTTTTGCTTAAGGGAGGATGGAGCAAGAAGATGGAAGGAATCTGGGTCTCCGAAGGACCTCATGGAGCAGAACTGTCTTTCACTCTTATGTGAAAGAGAAATAAACTTCTGTCTTATTTAAGTCACTGTATATTGAGATTTTTTTTAATAGTGATGTAGTCTTTACTGTACTAAATCAATGAGATATTTGGATTTTTTTTCAAAGTGAGACACCATTAGAAAGTTTCAAACAATGAATAACACGAACTATGTTTCAAAGAGATCATTCTGACTTCTGCATGGATAACAGACTATAGGAAGGCCAAGGTGGGAGAAGGGGAAACAGTTAGAAAGCTATTGTAGATTTTATATGAGAGATAAAAGACTAAGATGGTGGCATTGGAGATGGAGGTATAGGATGGATTATGAATATATTCTGGACGTTAGAGCAAGCAGGATTGCTGCTTTATTAAATTTTGGAGGTGGTGCAGGAAAAGAAAAAACCAAATATGATTCCTAAGTCTCTGACTTGAATAACTGATGAGAGAGTGATAGGATTTCCTGTGGTGGAGAAGATTAAAGTACAGGGTAGGATGGGATGCTTTGGTAGCAAAAAAACCAAAAACCAAGAAATCTTGACACAAACTGGCAAAAATAATAAGCAAATTTATTAGCTTACAAAATGTAGAACAAGCTATAATGTTTGGGTGTTTCAGTGGCTTAAGTATGTTATCAATGGCCTCTTTCTAACTTTCATCTTTGCCATCCAAGTTTAAGCTTCATCCTAAAGCTAATTCTCTTTGGGGTCAGCAACTGGGACAATGTGTTTCTTTGCTCATAACCAACAGGAATGCAGAGAGAAACCATTCCTCTAAGCATATAGTACAGGTCCTTCCTGCTAGCCTGAATTTGCTGACTTAGGTCTGCCATGTTCTGATTGGTTTAAATGAATAAGGACCAGAGTTGGAGCCACTGGCGTCTGAGTCATGACTGATACGTGGAGAGTAGTGAGTGACACCTGGGAAAAATCAAGTTCTGTTGGGAAAGACAGGAGGAAGGATTGATTAAGAGTTTATGTGTGTGAGCTTTAGCTCTTTGTTTCTTTCTCCCCATCTGTGAAGTGGGAGGAAAATATAACTACAGCCTTAGCAGACGGAGGAGGAGAGATTTTTATGAAGAAAACTAGAACAAAGGTCTCATTTGCACCAAGAGGGAAGGCTTGTTCTAATATCAAAGGACCCATAGGGTAAAACTGCTGCATGGATGATATAACGTGAATATCAGTGACTTCATTTTTAATATGTTTTTATAGAAGTATAGTTGATTTACAATATTGTGTTAGTTTCAGGTGTACAGCAGAGTGATTCAGTTATACATATATATATATATATATATATATTCTTTTTCAGATTATTTTCCATTATAGGTTATTACAAGACATTGAATATAGCTCCCTGTGCTATACAGTAGACCCTTGTTGTTCATCCATTGTATTTTATATATAGTAGTGTATACCTGTTAATCCCAAACTCCTAATTTATCCCTCCACCACCCTTCCCATTTGGTGATCATAAGATTGTTTTCTATGACAGTGACTTTATTTGGGTGATACAAATAAACTGAGACTGATGAGTCCAAGCAACGCTGGGGGAGAGCCAGAGCAGAAGACAGCAAAAGAAGACTCTTGCTGGGAGCTTCCCTGGTAGCGCAGTGGTTGAGAGTCCGCTTGCCGATGCAGGGGACACGGGTTTGTGCCCCGGTCCAGGAGGATCCCACATGCCACGGAGCGGCTGGGCCGGTGAGCCATGGCCGCTGAGCCTGCGCATCCGGAGCCTGTGCTCTGCAACGGGAGAGGCCGCGACAGTGAGAGGCCCGCGTACCGCAAAGAAAAAACAAAGAAGACTCTTGCTGGTCCTCATTTTCTGTGTCTTAGAAACCCAGTGTTTTGGTCTAGAAAATGATCATAAAGGATTCTAAAACCGTCTCTCTTTTGTGAGTCAAGCCTCTGATATTTTCAGAAACCAGGCCTTGAATATGAAAAACAAACTGTGACTGTGCCGTAAGGGGCAAAAGCAGCCTTAGTCCAGGATGAGGGAGGTCAGGGAAGAGAACCAGCAAGAATAATGTGGTATCAAAAGCCGCACCTGCTGTCCAGGGAGACTGATTCTGGGTGGGCAGCTTTCTTGCTTGTGAGTCTATGAATAAGAAACTTGTTCAAAAGGTGCTCCCCATTAACCATGGAGAGGAACTGTCTGAAGAAGTTCTTGGTTAAATTTTGTGATAATCCCGGAGCACCCAGTGACTATAAGATTGATGCGGGTCGGGAGGAAGGGGGCAGGAGTTATCCCAATCATAGGTGAGGCCGCCAAGAACCTAAGTAACCAGGGGACATGAAGCACCTGGGCTCTACCCAGATAGTTTGCATCAGACACATAGATAGAGTCTGAACCCCCATTAGCCCCAGATTGTACCCCCCAAGCCATCCACTCCAATTGCTAAGGATGGAAGGTGGCCAAATAGATCAGACAAAGCTATGAAGCTATCAGTGCTTCATGTCTGATTTTGAATCTTCTTTGGGTGTGTTCCACCTATCCTTTTATATTTCTTTAGGAAGAGTTTGGTGTATTGCGTTCTAAAAATCAGAGTTAAGAGTTGCTACAAAGGCAGAATAAAGAAGGCAGGAAAACAGAAAAGAAGCAATCTTTACATTACCCTTAGAGATAAACTGGGAGTTTTAACATAGGAGTAACGGTAACTTACACTAGCCATGCCACCCCAAAAACAAAAGGCCTGCCCTTTGACCTAGTTTTCCTACCTGTGTTGATGGAGTCACTAATCCCAGTTAGTTAACCTGAGTCCTAGGAGATCATCACAGACTTCTCTCACCCTTCCACCCCAGCACAGGGGTAAAATGTCCAGTTCCCAGAGTCAGACTTCTTGGGTTCAAATCCCATCTTTGCTATTTTCCAGCTCTGTGGATTTAGGCAAGTCATGGAGTCTTTCTGAGGCTTGGTTTCCCCGTTTTTGAATGAGCATAAGAACACCGTCTGCTTCATAGAATAGCACAGGCTGTGACACATAGCAAGAACAAAACAAATGTTAGAGTATGTTATGATTAGCCAATCAGTAACGGAGTCCTGTTGATCATACCTTTTAAATATCTCTTGTATTTATCCTCCACGGCCATCTTAAAGTGTATGCAATGCAATGAGTTGAAAGGTTTATTTGTGGTGGGTGGGCTGCTTGTCGTGAAAGGAGAAATTAGAGCGGGAAATACACTCCCAGTGGGAAGTGCAGGAAGGGGCAGACATGAACAGCCCTGGCTTTTCGGAGGGGGTGATGGGAGAGACAGCGCTGGGGGGGGAGGGTATGAAAGGAGAGCAATCGAGAGAAGAGAAGCTGAGAGGCTAGCACGAGTGTGGAGCTTGGGTGAAAAAGATGTCTAAAGAGAATTTTTAAAGGTTTTTTTTTCTGTGATGCCCCACACAAACATCTGTATGGTAAGTTCAAGAAAACTTAGTAAAGATTTACATTATTGTTCAAATCATTTGGAGTCAGATCTGGATTTTTTTTAACTTTACACAGTCCAGAGATGGTCTTGGGAGTTCCCTGGTGGCCTAGTGGTTAGGATTCAGCACTTTCACTGCGGAGGCACGGGTTCAATCCCTGGTCAGGGAACCATCCCACATGCCACGCAGTATGACCAAAATACAGAAAGAAAGAAGGTGGGGTGGGGGGGAGAAAGAAAGAAAGAAGGAAAGAAAGAAAGCAAGGAAGGAAGGAAGGGTGGGAGGGAGGGAGGGAAGAAGGAAGATGCTTAAAAACAAACAAACAAAGATGGTCCTTAACTGACCCAGTTTTACTTGGACCATGCACAGTGTCCAGATGGAACACACTGAGGGTGTTCTGAGCAGCACAGGACCAACATCTTCCCTGTGGAGACCGGACTTCTGCCTGTGCGGCCCACGACCACAGGGACTGCAGTGGCACTCCCGGCACACTACTGACACCTTGTCAACCAAAATCCTTCAAGATTTTTCACATACACTATTAGCTTTGTTCTCCATAATTCACTTTTCACATGGAGGCTTCAGAAAATCTATTCCAGTCATACAGGCCTCCTTTCAGTTTCTTGAACCACCTTATTCGTGGCTTTTCTTCATTTTTAATATCTCAGTTTAAATCTCCTTTCTTTGGATAAGCCTTCCCAGTCATCCTGTCTGGTGCCTCTGTCCGTCACCTTGTTTCCTTCATGGAATGTAGCATTATCTAATTAGCTTGAGTTTTTATTGGTTACTTCTTCATTGTGTCTCTTCTCCAATAGGAGAGAATGTAAGCTTACATGGAATGTAAGCTCCATGAAGACAGGAATCTTATATTTTGTTCATTTATCACTGTAGTCCAACACCTTGCTGGGAATTGCATCCTAGACAAATATTTGTTTAAAGAATTAATGTAAAAACAGTGAACCATAAGGATGATGTTATTTAAAACACACACACACACACACACAACGGTGTTCCCTTTAATTATCTTATTCTGCCTAGGGATAGAGCACTCAAGTAAAAGACTTAGAGTCAGAAAATATTAACACTACTGTTAACAGAGATCTCATTTCATAGATGAGAAACCTGAGGCTTATCTTATTTTATAGATAGCTGTCCAGAGCCACACAGCTTATTCGGGTCTGCAGTGGATTGATTTGTAGATCCCTCAAAATAGTCACAGAACCTGTGGATGTAACCTTATTTAGAAAAAGAGGGCTTCCCTGGTGGTGCAGTGGTTGAGAATCTGCCTGCTAATGCAGGGGACACGGGTTCGAGCCCTGGTCCGGGAAGATCCCACATGCTGCGGAGCAACTAGGCCCGTGAGCCACAACTACTGAGCCTGCACGTCTGGAGCCTGTGCTCCGCAACAACAGAGGCCGCGATAGTGAGAGGCCTGCGCACCGCGATGAAGAGTGGCCCCAGCTTGCCACAACTAGAGAAAGCCCTCACACAGAAATGAAGACCCAACACAGGAAAAATAAATAAATTAATTAATAAACTCTTACCCCCAACATCTTAAAAAAAAAAAAAAAGAAAAAGAATCTCTGCAGATGTAATGAAGTTAAGTATCTCAAGATGAGACTATCCTGAATTATCCTGGTGGGCCCTAAATCCAATGACAAATGTCCTTATAAGAGACAGAAGGGAAGACACAGAAAGATCGAGGTGACAGCCATCTGAAGAAGGAGGCAGAGATTGGAGATGTGCAGCCAAAACCCAAGGACCACCTAGAGCAACCGGAAACTGAAGAGTCAAGGAAACGTTCTTCCCTAGAGCCCTCAGAGAGAACACGACCCTGCAGACAGATTGATTGCCAATTTCTGGTCTCCAGAACTGCGAGAGAACAAATTTCTGTTGTTTTAAGCCTTCAAATTTGCGGTAGTGTATAAATGAAGCCACAGGAAACTAATACAATGGCACAGCAAGGAACTACTAGCCGTACTTCTTAACCGGTGCACTTTCCATGAGCTCCTGCTTCCCCAGGGTGACTATGAATAATTACAATGTGATCAAGTTCCAAGTGAAAACCCAAACCTTTAGCCCCCAAGTCTAAAGGCACTTAACTCAGGAGAAGGTACAGATCTCAAACCCAGGCAAAACCCCCAAAGCTGAAACCCAATGAGGGAATGTCTGAATTCTGAATCCAGGGAAAGTTGCTTTCTTAAACCACCAAGAGAGGGAAACTTTGGGCTCTAAAAGTGTCCCGCCATTCAGTTAGCCATGGGCGGGCCTTGTTGCTCATGGGACCACATTTCTTCCCAACGTCCATTCCAAGAAATTGGAGCATCAAGAAACTGGGCTCTGTTTGCTCAGGTCCACCCCCAATACACAGCCCATCTCTGCACAACTGTGCTGAGCAAAGGTCCCTCTTTCAAGATTCTTCTCCACATCCTAAGGTAGGAGAATGTGCTCGAGCCGAAAGTGGACAATTTTCTCTGCCAGCTCATTAAAAATGCTGGCCAGCACACCAAGGGTCTTTAACAAGCAGTCAGTGTTTACAAGGGGACTGAAATCTAATTTCTCTTGTATAATAATAGCATTTCACAAAACTCCATGTGAAACTCACTGAGCAGTGCTTTTCAAACTTTTTTGTGCGTTTGAATGACCTGGGTATCTTGTTTAAAAGGCAGATTCTAATTCAGTAGGTCTTGCTGGGACCTGGGATTCTGCGTTTCTAATAGGCTCCCAGGTCATGTTGTTGCTACCAGGTTTTGAATGGTACAGAGTATCAAGGAATAGAGCCAATCCTTGCATAGTCCTTTGACAAGTGGCCGTCTTTGGAACCTCTATGGATTTGTTTTCATTCTGCTTTCGTAGAGCTTGTCTCAAAATAAAATAATTCTTCCTCTTTCCCTAGACCACAAGCCCATATTCACAGAAGTGTCAGAGCAAGGGAAAAGGAGGTGGTATATGATATGTAAAATACATATACATAAATATGAATATATATACATATAAAATAATATAGATGTATATGACATATATATATGAATGAAAGGATATGAAAAGTGCTTTAAAAATCTAGATGTTTGGCATTAATTTAAAAGCCAGAAAAGAAGAAATATTTTATATTTTGAAATCCAGTTTCTTTAATGGACAAATTCTTAAGGACACAGTAAAAAGACTTACAACTCATCTTGAATGTATTAACTTCTGTCAGCTCTAAGATGGATTTATATTAGGTTACCTCCTCAATTACAATTTATGCATAGTCACATGATCAAAAGAATTTGGTTAACATGTAAGTGTTCAAATTCCTTCAGACTGTAAACAAATATGTCTTTTCATCTTTATATCTTTAACACTAAGCACATACTAGGTGCTCAGATATTTGTTGGGAAGAAAAATGAATGTCTTTGGCATTTAAAAACATGAACTCTCACCATGTTATATTATGCTCTCTGCTTCCAGAAGAAAAGATAGAAAGGGCAAGAGTCATGTAGGCAGATTATCAGATAAAAATCGGTGAGAGAAGAGGATGAACTGTACACAGGGCAGGGGAAGGTGTGCTTAGAGCTACCTGTTTATCCAGCTTCTCCAGATCATTGGCTCAACACTAGGGCAGGTAGGCAGTTCTGGGGACCAGTACAGGCCAGAGTGGGAAGAGCATGAAGAAGAAGGAATAACTGGGGTGGGGTAGAAAAGATAAAGACACAGGAAGATCTGTAGAGTGGGAGGGAAGTGGATGGAGGAACAAGGAGCCTTAGAGGACAACAAAGCAGAAAAATTCCTATTTCAACCTCCTGTCAATGGAGCACCCTCAAATCTTTACCTCCAGCCCAGACTCGCTCCTGGATTCCAACTGCGTTGCTTTATAGACATCTCAACCCTGAAGACAACAGACACCTCAAAGGTGACAGGTGTAACACCAAATCCACTTTCCCCTGCTCTGACTCAGACTTGCATCTCCTGTTGGGTTCTTTATATTTTTAATCTGTGGAGTCATCCTTGACTTGTTCTTTTTCACCCTGCCGTATAATCCTGACACTAGCTAGACAGTTTACATTTCACAGGCTAAGGGCACATTCTTCCACAAGACTGCCCTCACTTCAGGTGCCAGCCACAAGCTCAGGGGTAACCACTTCACCTGCACTCCTAACCAACTAGCTATAAATTGGAGGGTCTCCCATGACCGCTTCAGGTTTGATCATTTACTAGAACAACTCACAGAACTCAGGAAAGTGTTGTACTTCTGATTATAGTTCATGATAAAAATCAGGACCAGCTCAAAGAAGAAACCACAGAACAAGGTCCCAAATGTGAAGTTTCTGTGTCCTCAGGATGCATCGCCCTCCCAGCACATCAATGTGCATCACCAACCATGAAGCTCACTCAAGCCTCAGTGTCCAGAGTTTTTATTAGGGTTTCATTATGGAGGCATGAGTGCTGGGATCATTGGCTATGCGACTTAAATCACTCTAATCTCTTTTCCCCTCCCCAAAGTTCAGAGGTCTAGCTGATAGCACTTGGCTCCAAGCCCCAACCTCCTAATCACATGGTTGGTCTTTCATGTGACCATGG